TATTCAGCATGATGTGGTATGTAACATGATGCAGTTACCATAATAATAATGAAAATAAATATGTAGCTATATTCAGAATCCTCATTATCAAAGTGAAGTACCCAAAGAGAAAATAAAGTAAATCTCAAATGTCTTCAGAATGGGGGGTTCTGAGTTGTAACATTCATCTCTTTTACTAAGAATTAATTTAGGGTCAAAGGAGAGTTTTAAATGTAGCACTCTTCTTAGAGATGCTATAAATGGATATTAAACTACATGGTCTTTAATTTTAGCAAATAAATAAATAAATAAACACATAGGAGCAGGTTTCCTGGCTTAGAAATGATGGTCCATGGCTCATCAGAGAGAAACTGGGGTGATAGTAGCCATTTGGGGCCTTCACAGTGAGATACAAAATAAGTTTCTATGAGGAGTTTCAGGCATAGTCAGAGATGTGCTCATTCTGAAGTTAGACAAAGCTCCTTACAGTCTTGGGACACCTCAGCACGGCACTAAGTACTGAACTAAGGAATGCTGGCTCTCTGCATGGTTAATAGTTGAAGCAGCAGGTGACTGAGAAGGAAGTAGGCAGCTGCTATACTACACTTCTTGCCTCCAAAAGAGAGGTTACCCGCTGCCTCATACTTTCTGTGATACATTGCAGTTGCCAAGAAAAATGATACTTGTAATTCCTGAACACTGCTTCCAAGTTCTCATATATTGGATTCATTATTTCTATTTGAACATTATTCAGATATTTACTCCCATTATCTTCTCCCCCTGCTCCTCCCCCCATATTAACTCATCAGCTAGTCCTCTGCTTCAAATTCTCTCACTAGGCTGCAATCTAAGCATCGGCCAGGGCTGTGGTCTCATCTGAAGTCTGGGGCGGGATCACCGTCCATGAATGCTAACTTGGTTGTGGTTAGGATTCAATTCTTCAGAGTTTGTTGGATTGAAGGCCTCAGCTTCTGGCTGTTCTTTGTCCAGAGGCCACCCCCCAGCTCTCTGTCACTCATTTTCAACCCTCATGTCAGCTTCATTTGACAAAAAAGCAAGTGAATGAGAGAAATTTCAACCAAGACCAAAGTCACATTCTTGTGCAACTTCATTGTGGATATCCCATGTCTTAATGCTCCCATATCCTGTAGGTTTCATGTAAGTTACTCAAAGGATAGAAACACATGAGGTTGTAAATAAAAGAGGCAAGAACCAGTGGGTCTATCAGAAAGGCTGTCTGCTATAGTAGTTAACAGCATATACCCAGACTTGGAAGAAAGAAAGAAGCAGAAAAAGAAGGTGCATGGAAAGAGAAGGAAAGGAGGGAAAGGAGAGCAGCAATGAAGGATAAACATAAAAAAGACAAAGAAAATAATAACCCTGAGCACCAGCCTGCCATGTATAATGTGGCTTCTGCACATTAGCACCACAGCCATGCATTTCCTATTTCCTATTTAGAATAAGAAGACAATATAAAGCTTTCTATACATCTGGAGTTAAAAGGAAACAGGATAAACAAGAATACTAAGTTTAGGCCAGCAAAATGTGTTTCAAATTTTTTTTTTTCCTTTAACATTTTTCCTCCCAGCTAGAAGTTTTTTCCTTTGTGTTTCAAATGTTTGGGTTGTGATCATTATTCTTACCATCACATGGAAGGCTTATTGCAAGGGACATAGGAATCTGAATGGCATGTACATTTGATGATCTCAGATTGTTTCAGCTCATATGCCAAAAATTGACCCTATCCATGGTTAATGGTGGTATGTATGTGTGACGTCATTGTAATAGTCAAATGGTAAAGTACCTCAATTACATCTATTCCATCCTCTCTGCTGAGGAAATTGGAGCTCAAATGATGTGGGAAGATTATAGATATTCCATATAGCTACATGGAAGCAGAGCCTAACTGGAATCCAAACTCTTAGTGTATTTCTACTTCTTACCTTGTTTGCAAATGAAGTCAGAATATGAAACACTCAAACCTGAAGACACTGAAATAGTTGTGGTTGGAAAATATTTCTTACTGAATTTATGGAAGTACCTAAAAATAGTGTTTTCAGGGCTTTGACTAATAGAAAAAGAAATTTCTCTGGGTACTGTGCTATAAAATAGGTACTTACCTAGCAAAACATATTTTTCACCGTATTTGTTCATACCAGATTTCAGAGAATCCCACACTTCAGTGCTCTGAGAGGGACTTATAAATGCGAAGTCCCTAGAAGGTTGGCTGTCTGCCCTAGGTACCAAGCTAGATCCTGTCCATGTACCCAAGTACTTACAAACTTCTCGGTTCATATGGGAAAAAAGAATATTTCTCACAATTATGTGATCATGGAATTTTATTAAGCCAAAATTTCTATCATCCCCAACATGTGTTCCCAGAGCAAAGAATGTATCCACAACTCAGGATTTCCTGAGGATTCACATGCTTATAGACAGACTACTCAGGGCAATGGGTGTCCTAAAACAAGGACACATTCCCCAGCCTGAGCTTCTCCCCTGAATTGACATGGGAGATGGAGGGTGAAGGATGTGGTCCTTATGTCCCAGCACTACAGTTTCTTCTTACCTGGCTTATTTCTGCACAGGATACCCACCTCCCCCAGCCCCCACTGGATTAGAAACTCCATGAGGACCAAGATGTTACTAGTTTGTCTCCTGTTCTATTCTTGAACAGGGCCGGCCTGGTTAACGATAGGTGTTTAATACCTACGTGTCGAATGGGTGACTGAATGATGGACTTGTTTGAGTTAACAGTGTTTAATTTGTCATGAGCTTGTTGACAGAGGAAAAGGGGGGCATATTTTGGTTAAAAACACCATGTATATTGGCCCTCCCTGGTGGCGTAGCGGGTTAAAGCACAGCATTAAGAAGCTAAAGCCATTTCTGCATGAGTTCAGTCCCCGCCTGCCCCGGAGTGGCCACATGGCACGGCAGGCCTCTCCTGACCCGCCCGCTGCTCCCCTCAGCAGTG